GAGTAGTGTGTGTGTGTGTGTGTGTGTGTGTGTGTGTGTGTGTGTGTGTGTGTGTGTGTGCGTGTGTGTCTGTGTTGAAGAAGTCGTACAGCCTGTTCTGTTGTGGTACACCAGCCATCCAGCCATTCATCGTCGTCTCTCGCTCTTCTCCGTTCATTTACTAGGCCGATGCTCTTGTACAATTCTCGCAGGGTGCCGCGAACATGCGATAGGGTATGTGCAGGTGAAGCGGTTGCGATGGAGGGGTTATCGGTAGTCCATGTCAACATCAAACGAAAGTTCACCGACCTGTTCATCCTCCGAGAAAGCCCGTTGTCTTTCTCTTTCACGTGCTATTGCCTCGTCTTCCATCTCTTCGTCATCGTCGCCGTCGCCAAAGCCTGACAGCATAGTCCCGGAGTTGATCTCAAAGCTTTGGCCGACTGTGCCTTCCTGCAGAGCCAGACTATCCTCAGGCGTCATGTTGCTATTACCACCAAGACCCGCACTAGCAAGCGTGCTTTGTGTGTTCGACGTAAAGCCGCCAGACAGCCCACTTGCACCCATAGCTCGGATTCCAATCGCGTTTTCTGGTCGTACGCCGCCCAGAACAGCGTTGTCCTTGTCCCGAGTTTCGGCAAGAGTGCCTTCCACGTATGTGATCCATGCCTCGCGACTGACACGCTCCACGATCGCTGGGTCCAGTGTGTCCGGAGCATGTTTGTTACCAAACTTGCACACCTCTTCTGCAATTAGTGTCAGGTGGCCCATGTAGCCCAATCGCATGCCCTTATGCTTCTGCGATTCGTCCGAATTGGCCTGGCCGTCTAGAATTCTATCTGTGATGTCTTTGCCTGAAGCAAGACCGATCTCCTCTGCAGTCTTGCCATCTGGTCCCTGCACGGGAGTGAATAGGTCAAATGCTAATGTCCGATTGTAACCGCGGTCCAGCGTGCCGTTGAAGACTTGTTGTACAACGTCGTATACCACATTATGCAGGAAATTGTTCCAAGGAAAGCGGAAAAAGAAGTCCTGCGACGCACGAATAAGCATACTTCACTCACACACACACTCACACACACACACGAAAGAATGTCAGCGGAATGGCAAGCCTTATCGCACTCACAAGAATGGTGGGCACAACCTGGTGCTCCACGAATCGAAGTTTGAGTAGGTCGCCCACAACAGGTGTTCCATCCAGCTCAGTGTCATAAGGCGCTCTTTCGCCATTGGATAGTGTGCTCGGGTCTTGAGCATGCAGAGTTGCTGTGCTTTGCTCGATATCTTGCGAGCTTTCACTACCGGCAGACGTCGTCTCGTCATGAGGTATCGTGGGAGTCTTCTTGGCAAAAAGAGGTGCAGGCTTATCGGCAGAGCGTGCTAATTCTCGCTCGAGTTCTGATGGGCCGTCATCTGGTTGTATGTTCAGCGGGTGGTCTGATAAGAACTGCTGATACAGTCCTAACGAATTTTGCTTACCCTCTTCCGTCGGCTCCTCGCCAAACTCAGACATCACTGTGTCCTCGTCGACATCGAGCTTATTGAATCGATCAGTCGCTTCCGCGGTCGTCGGTGAGTCGACAGAATGCGCAGGAGGAGGATCGAAATGTAACTGAGTTTGTTTCGTAGGCGACGTGGCATTCTTCTTTGGCGACAGGGGTTGCGGAAGCGCACTTGGGCTGATGGGAGACTGTGGCGACTTGTTCTGAGGATCACTTGGGTCTCGTTTCTCAACTTTCTCCAGCCTCGGTAAACTTCCATGCGTCGTGTCGTCGATCTTTTCGCTCAAGTCGTCGTCAAAAGTAACCTCGTCTGGGAAATCTTCCGAAGGCTTGTTCACCTTTTCGAATCCATCCTCGTCGGAAGCATTCTGCACCTCCAGTTTTCGGATCTCTTCCGGCTTCTCGCTCAGCTCGTCGTCGTCACTGGGCCGCTGCGCATGATGGAAGCCTTGAGAGTCAACACTGCTACCAAACTCATCATGGGAAATGTCTGGCGTGGGACTCTGCCGTGCCCGAGGTGTGGCAAGCTTGCCCTCAGCTTTGAGCCTCTCGCGTTCCGCATCCCGCTTTGAGACTTCTTCATCTGCGCCTCGCTCGTTCAGCAAACCCATGTTACTGCAGTGGAGCAGCTCAGCCATGAGTTCACACGTCTTGAACCGATCGAAACCCAAAGGCTGAATCTTGCGGCCAAAGGCTGCTTTCAGTTCTGGCTTCTGCGCATCCGGGGACCTGATTAGGTGCATAAAATCTGGTACATGTGTCGCAAACTTGCGAAGAAGAGTGCCCAGATAGATAGGATCTGACGTTTTTGGCTCCGGCCCAACTTGATTGTCAAGATCGTAGTCCGAGTTGTTCTTTCGGATGACTTCGATGACGATGCCGACTCCCACGGTTAGCGGATTTCCACCTTTGAGCATGCCATCGATAAGCGACTGTATGCAAGGCTCCGACACAAGTTGTCGCGTCAGCTCGTTTGGGCCAATCACCGACTGATCCTGCGTAGTAGCATTCGCAGAGATGGTAATGATTGCCTTGAGAAAGTCCCCGGCCGAGGTTTGCGTTGCTCCGCTGTGTTCATCAGACAGGTATCCCAGCAGCTGCGGGATGAGGTTCTGTTGCTGAAGCCAGTCTACAATGCCCTGCCCACCCTCGTGCTTCTCCAGTGAGATGATCTTTAATAACAAGTCCATAATCATGGGACAGTCCACATGCTGTAGCATCGCTGGCACGATCCCGTCAAGGTTTCTGAAGAAGTCCAGCATTTCCTCTGTCTTCTTGTCGAGCAGCGCTTCGTTGACCTTGGTGAAGTAGCCAGCCTGTAGCGCATCGAGAGGTGCAGGTCGCTGCACATATTGCCAAAAGACGCGCAAATTCTCTCTTTGCTCGAGAAGAGCCTCGCTGATGGACCAGACCTCTGAGGAAAGCACTTCGCATGCTACGTATGCATATTTCTTGCGCTGAGCTTCGTTCTTTTCTTGCTCCGTCTCGCCGTCCGGCGAGTTCTTATTCGTAGATTTGGACCTTGCACGGCTCTTGCCCTTGAAGAAGGAGATACCGCCGCTCCTCTCGTCTTCACCTGGAGACTTGGGAGTTCCCGGCGCAGCATCCTTCTGCTCACTGCCTGCGTCTGTTGCTGCTGCTGCTGCTGCTGCCGCCGCCGCCGCCGCCGCTACTGCTGTCTCCTCCTCGGTCTTCGGCTCGGCAATGACATAAGTCAAGAGCTTCTTCAAGTGATCCTCTTCGCGCAGGAACTCAATGAGCTTGCTGTTCTGCTGCTTGAGTTCCTGGATCAGATCGCTCTCGTCCAGTAGTTCCTCGAGAGTGACATCCTGTTTGTCGAGGATGGTGTTGATGGTGCTCACGTTGGCATATCCGCCAAAGCGCCAAAACATGGTCGTAGGCTGTGAGACGCCGTGCTGGCGGCGGAGCACGACTCGGTCGTTGGTGTGATGGCGGCGGGTGTGACGTGTACGGCGGAGCCTTCGAGGATGTGGGCGGTGGATGTCATGCGTCTACAGAAGGGACATGGGAAGGGGCTCGGCGCTGGCCAGACCTGCTTTTCCAGAGGGAGAGTAAGTAGACTCAGGTAGGAGGTACAATGATTGTAAGCGGGCAGTTGTGATGGCAAGGCCAATGCGATGCGCAACTGAGCCCGACAGACAGTTCCAGTCAGAGTCAGTCGGTTGCCTGATGATGATGATGATAATTAATGCGGGTTATCGTCTGTGCCTGATGATGATATGTGCCGGCTTCCAAATTGGGACTTTTGGAGTCGGAACAAACGAGGGTGGTCGCGTGCGTGCTAGTCTAGTCCCAGTATGGATGTCTTCTAGTGTTTCCGTTCGAGAAGAACACCTGACCAAAAGACTCTAATACATGTGTCTCTTTGCAACGGACTCGTTTCCAAATACATGTACTCCTGGGTCCTGACTACTGCATGTGCTTGTACGTAGGAGGTAGTTACAGTACTTGTACCGACCATGTAGGTAGGTACTGTAGGTACATGTACATAGTACTTACGTCTCTACCTATAGGAGGTACCTAAGGATGGCCTGCCCTGTATTATCATTATTCCCTCGGTATTCAAATCACACCGAAGCCTCTCATTAGGTCAGGTATTCTCATATAGCTTGACCGTGACAACCGTCAGCAGATACACATGCACGGTACACGCAGTCCATGCCGTCGGTTGCCGCTGTCTACGCGTCACTTCTGCTGCTGCGGTACCAGAACAGTGGCTGATCACATGGCACGGTCAAGCGCTGCCGGCAGACGATTGTGGGATCCCGTCTGACGACGAAAGGATGGATGCACCGGCATGTCGCCTTGCAGCCCGGGGGACATCTAGGAGCTACCATCATGACCGAGCACATTGATCTCATGATTTCTGCACGTTTCACCACCGCTACTCCGTCACATCAATAAATCAAGGTCTTACTAATTGTCCTCACGTTGTCCTTCTGTCCCGCTCTGCTGCCCATTCCGCTTCATCGTTGAGAGTGGCCATCTGCGCCTCTTCATACCCTGGAGGCGGCTCGTCGGGTGGATTCAAGGCATTGTCTGTTGCCCTGGGCGTTGGTCGTGCGGCTTCTTCCTCGCTCGCATTGACATTGCCCATCTGTACACCACTATCTCGCTGCTGCGAGACGGGGCTCTGCGCTATAGCCATAGCTGTCGGCGCAATCAGAGGTCCATCACTCTCCTCCGAGTACGCCGGCAGGTCTTCGAGTGGCACTGTCGATACGTCGACACCTCCGTTGATTGCTGAGCTTGATGCGCTCACTCCACCGTTGGCGCGCTGTGTCTCCACCGCCTGTTGCAGTCGTTCCCGCATCTTTTCGTAATGTGAGTGGAAGTCGAATGCTCCATTATCGTTGAATTTCAGGTTCAGCTCCAGCACCCCCGTGCTCGGTATAGGTATCCCCCCAGACGGCACTGGTTGTACTAGTGCTTGCCACCCATTCGCGCCAAACCAGGGCATCGTGATGCGCGAGTCGTGTAGGTTGAGTATGGGGCAGGCGAAGCTTTGAAACGTCGCTGTTGGTTTCTCTGGCAAATATAGCACTCTGGTGTTGGTGAGGAAGACCTGCCCACTTTTCTCTGTGAGCGAGTATGGGGTCTGCTGCTTCCCGGGATAGTTTTTTGGCGATTCGATCGATAGTTGTACGCGTTTGGGTGTGGTGTGGATGAGCTTCTCGCCGGGGAGGGGGGTGAAGGGCGGATTCGTATCGGGCGAGATCATGACCCAGCTGCGAGCATAGCGGTTAATGGCTTGTCGGTTGGAGGAGCGCTGCTTGGTGGGAACAGCTGTCGCTGAGGGGTGAAGCATGGTATAGACAAAGAAAGAAGTGAGAGGCGGTCGACCTACTTGATAGACATGGTGGGCGACGGGAGACTGCTTTTTAAGTCAATCGTTCCCCGGCAGTGAACGGATGGCTCGGTGCGAACTCTGCCTCCTGTCCACAGAAAGAATGCGCGGGCAGGTGCTGGAGAAGTGACACAGTGTTGCTGCACTCGATTAAGCAGAGCTGGGAGGCCAGAGGAAGTTCGCGAGGCTATACTGTAGGTACAGGTCGGGTGGCGCTGCAAGATGCCGTGCCGGAGGAGGGTGTTTGGAGCGCTGCAGGCTGCACGTCACGGGTCAAGGCCAATAGAAGGGAGTGGTTGCTCGTACAGGCCTCGTTCAGTTGACAGCCGGCCAATGTCCGCGTCGAGATGAATTAGTTGTGCAGGCAGACAGTTTGCAGTAGTCGACGGGATGCCCCACTTGACTCCTCATGGTGTAATGGTGGGGACTGGGGAGAAGATATGAGTTAGGCGCGGTTGGCGCCAGTCCAGCACAGAAGCACATGGATGCGAGAGACTTCACTCGTGTGATGATCACGTGCAGCGGATGCGACAAGAAATCAAAATCTGGGGGGTGAGTCTGGACAAACAAGATATTCCCACGTGATATGTATTTGCTCACCTATAGGACATCGATATAGTACAGGTATACATGCACACATGTGGCTTGTATACGATACTAAAGGACTCTAAAATATCATACTGCCTCCTAGGCCAGACCCATGTATCATTGTATCTCGTTCAGAGTTTTGACCATCGCCTATCACGGACCGCCTGCCCGCCACTGTCCATGCAGGGGGTTCTGCAACGACCTCCTCTCTCTCTCTCTCTCTCTC